TTCTCCATAAGGGGATTTTTGGGGGTTTCTCGGTTTCCGATGCCATAGAAATCAGCGCCTATCTGGAAGCACGAAAACATGGAAGTCGAAAATTTGAGTAGACGGTGTGACCGCGCGTTGTCTATAGTTCACATTCATATGCACCACTTCAACAAGTTCCTACTGTTCTTTCATCCTTTGGCCCTCTTTATCAGTACGCATATGCAGCACAAACCGAGAATGCGCAATTTGCGCTGACGGCTAGGCCTAATCTCGATCGGGACAGACACACGCATGCCGCGCGCCGTCATGTTCATAAGACTACCAGGACAGCTCTGATTCTTCTACCTTGGCGGATTCTGCTCCGCGCGATCAGAACTAAAAGTTCGGGCTAGCGTTCCTGACATTTTGCATTCTTCATAGTGCATTTAGGGAAGTGGGTTGGACAAGCTTACGTGAGTAGTACGATTTCTTTTGAGCACTTGTCGAGGCGCTTACCTATAAAGTGTGAAACCCAATCAGCAATATGATAAATATTAGGTACTCTGATTCCGCATGACCAAGGTGACAAGGATACTTGCGAAACCAGATCCGCAGATTGATGATTAGTGGTATAAACTAATGCTAAGATAAAATGTAGCTATAACATCAAGGTTGAACTAGAACTGCAGAATATTTCAATGAGAATATTTCAAACATTAAACTGTTTCGAAACACCTTGGCTGCAGATTTCTCCGTTCTATTAGGCTTCATGTGTGAAATTGCTGCCCACATGCGCTCCACGAAAATATATATTTGCATATTTGCAGTAATTCAATAATCCAAATTACACAACTGCATCCGTAGTTGACTTCCACAAAATAAGCGAGGCGTTTATTCGGTGTCTCCACTTTTTAAACTAACAAGTTCACTAAAATCACTCACTGTCATAACGATTTTTGATTATCATTCTTGTTTTAGCTTAATAGCCAAAATATTTCCAATGAAAACATAACACAATCTGAAAACAATGAGAAAAATTACAAGTACCACGGCAATGACAACAGCCGCCACATCCAGATTAAAGTATACAATAAAATTCAATCTAGATCCTTCTAAATGGAATTCCGTTAGGACTCCGTTTGCGATAGCAAAATTGGTCCATTGTACTAGTCGTTCTTCAGCGGAAAACGGCTTTTCTCGCATAAGTTTCGAAATGCGGAGAGCATTTTTCTTGTACCTGCAGTGGAAATTGAATATTGTAAATTTAGATGACGCAGATTTTCAATACTCAACATGAACAGTTCAAGGAGAAAAACTTAGTCAACTTATAAAGAATGTCCAATACCCTTTGAAAAGTTTGTAAGAATGATATTTCTTTTATTGCGAGGTTTCTTCAAAACTCGCTTTCGGCTGATGGACAACGATTACCGGCACTATTTCGCGATTTGTTTAGCTTCTAAAGTGGCACCAAGTAACAATGAATTTAGAAGGGAAGTAAGTACTCTATAAAGTCTTGTTATATGACAATTGTAGACTGAAGTTAGATTGCTTCAACAACAAAAGTCAAACAGGTTGCGTACTTTTCACTTTCTAGCATTTCCGTGATAGTTGATCGGATTGAGTTCTCATTCAGATCTTGTCTCAACAGCACCTGAAAAACACTCAAACTTGTCATCTTTTCAGATTTCCACGCGGATTCATAAGTATTATCTTCAGCAAACGCAATGAAATTATTTTCTTTAGCTAATTGCAAAAATTGAAATTGTCCAACTAGCATCTGAAAAGCGAAATTTTCGATGTTCAAATTTTGCTTGGAGCTGGATATATATGATTCTGAAGCATTATATCCGTCGTGTAGAGAAGGCTTTGCGTACTGTATCGTAGTAAATGCGGACACCAACAGCACTTAATTGAAAGTGTCATCAAGAAACTGCCGATGTCATGATGTTAGAGTCCACTACCTATAAAATACATTCGCAAGCTCTAGAAGTAGGGTCATCAACTTCAAATCTACTTCGCCTTCAGGTAGATAGTAGGTAGACATATATTTTTAGAAATGTTAATTTGAAGCATGTCTCTGTTTTTTTTTTCGCGTTATGCGTTTACACATTTTTCTCAGGCGGATACAGATACATTTGATTGAACTTGATTACTTAATTGCTAGATTTCTGAAATCTATATATTTTAGAACAGACAAAACTTGCTCTATATCACGTCTCGAACAAGGAGCGAACACCGTGAAGGCACACGAATTTCAAGCCGCGTTTGCGTGTTGCACACAACTTTGTTTACAAAATATTTTACGATTATTTTTTATTTTCGAGCCACATTCAGATTCAAAGGCAGTGGCTCGGCAAGGCTTGATCTAGTCAGAATTCTCCTCACCTGGGGTAATCCAATGCGCTGATCCCGAAAATCCAATTTATATTTTCTGGAAAATAGCGAAAAAGAGTGGCTAAAGCATTGCAGCGAGCAGCTTCCAATGATGAGAG